CACACACACACACACACACACACACACACACACACACACACGGTATTTAAGCATTTAATCATATGGGAGATACCCACTCACATGACAGGGCAACTGTACAACTTTCTCAAACACATCACGAAACAGAAACGGGGGAAGCCAGAGGAGAAATGAGACTGAGGTGGGTGGAGGGGACCACGTGAGGTCAGTGGGGCTGAGGTGGCCTCAGCTTTGCTCCCCTCCTCCCCAGGCTGCGGGGCTGAGGCTGGAACCAGAACCAGCCTCACGGGAAGGAAAGGCCTGTGCGCTGGAATTCAGAGCCATAGCAGCATGTGACACCCTGGGAGCTGGCTTCGGTGCAGAGCCCTCTCTGGTCCCACGGCTCCTGGCCACGCTCCTGTCTACTGACAAAGGACAGAGCCCAGAGCGCCGTCCCCAAGTGATGCCCTTTGATGCTTTAACACTCCGTGTCTCCAACAGACGTCTTCACACAGGGGCACACTCGGGGACTCCAAAGTGCAGCTGCTGTCTGTTCAACTTTGCTCAGCTGCTTCGTGGCTCTGCTGTGACCCCAGCTGGAAGCTTGTCCTGACTTAGGACAGGAAGTCCCCTCGCAACGGCGCAGTCACTGTTTCTGCCAACGCCCCAGAAGAGCTGGCGAGCCCCCAGGACGCATCCAGTCGGCCCGCCCTGCCCTTTCCACCCTTCCTGCCCTGTTATCTGGCATTTCCCCCACTGGCATGTCCAGCATAGAGCAGAGGGGCCATGGTCCCCTGGACGCCTAGGGTTCCTAAGGGAGGACATGGTACAGGGACAGGTAGTGAACTAACCCAAAGAGATATAAAAGGCAACTGTCAAACTTATTTGTAAAGAAACCCCAAATAAACAAGTACTTCTGAAAAACAAGATTAAAGTGAGAGACATAGCACTCCCCGATCCTGAGATGAACCTATTATACAGTTATAATAACAAAACCAGCAAGGTACTGGTACAGAAAGGAAAGAAAGGTACTGGAAAGAATGTACAGAAAGGTACAATGGAACCGAATCAAGAATACCGAAATTAAGCCATTTACCTACGGTCAGCTGGTGTTAGACAAGGAAATAAAGCCTAGCAAATGGGGAAATAAACTCGTCAACAAATGGTGCTGGCAAAACTTGACATTGGCCTGCAGAAAATGTAAGCAAGATCCACATCTCACACCATACAGAATAGTCTAAAAGTATTATATTTTAGGGCATTATTTTTATCGT